TAAAAAACTTAAACCTATTCAAATCATATTTTCCTAATTTTATAAACCAACCTAGTGAGTTCGCAAAGGTGAAAGGGGGAGTTTCGAAGAAGGGGGTTTCGGCCTAGGGTTTCATAGAATGGAGATGAAGAAAGGGAGAGAAACAAGTTGCACAGAGAGAGAGAGAGAGAGTGAGAGGCGAAGTCGAGGACAGGTTGTCTTCACAGGATAGTCTTTGACGGTGAAGAAGAGCTTCGAAGTCGTGTCTGAAGAACATAAGTGTTTTGGGCAAACAACGTAAAGAGGGTTTGTGGAACATAGAACAATAGGTAAAGAAAATTGTAACCGGTTGGAGAAGTATTCAATATTTTTAATCAAATTATTTAATGGTTGAGATTAATTTGTAAATATCTAATGGTTTAGAATAAATGTGTACATGATGTGCATTATTTAATGAGGTGCACATCTTAACAGCTCCCTAATGGTTTCTGTAGTTTGAGACTTATATTGTTTTGGTCTCTAATTTTTTAATTGTGACAAATTTGACTCTGAATTTAAATCTCATTCTAAATAAGGACAATTGAAAATAATGTTGCTCCATTTCAAAAAGCAAAATCATCAATTTGATAAAATATAAACTAATTCGACAAAAATAAATGTGAAAAAATTATTTCTAACCACCAAAGATAAAATTATATAAAAATAATATATCTTTTATATTTTTATTTTTTTACTAAATTATTTTTAATATTTGTTTGGATGATGATCATGTAATGGATGATAGTTTCTCTTATTTTTTTTATGGTTATCATGTAATAGATGGTTGTATTTCTTGTTAAAAGATATTTTTGGATGGTTAACATGTAATGGGTGGTTATTAGACTTTTAATGTGTAATTGATATATTTAATATATGAAATATTTTTAGTTTTAGATTTTTTTGATTTAATGAATTGGTTTAATAATGATATCAAAAGTGTCTCTATGTTTGTCTTTTAAAAAAATAGAAACTAAATTAATGAAAATAAATATCAAAAAATTATTTTATAAAATTATTTCTACCCTCCTAAAAGATAAAATTATATAAAAATGATGTGTTTTTAATCTTTTTCACCAATTTAATATTTAGATTCTTCGAAAAAAAAATTGAAAATATATTTTGAAAATCAAACTAAATAGAACTTTATAACTAAGAAAGTTCAAATATTATTCATTAAAAAAAAGTCATTACATTTCAAATAACATATAAGTTAACCAACACAAAATAAGTTATATGATAACTTTGCCCTTAAAATAGAGCAACAGTATCGTCAATTGTTATTATTTTGAACAAATTTAAAATTAAGAGTCAGATGTATCACAATTAAAAAGTTAAAAATCAAAGTAACACAAGATCCAAGTTAAAGGAACTGTTAATGTAATTCGCCTTTTTGAGAATTATAAAGGGCGTAAAGAGATGAAATAGAAAATTTGAATTTTAAAATATGTAAAAAGTAAAAAAGTGTAACGATAAAATTTCATCGTGTAAATAAAAGCTCCCAAATGACCTGATGATATATGAATCCTTCTACAATATATCCTTTAAAAGAGGTGTACTATGTATAATTTTTGACATTTTGGGTGTTGATACTACAAAGTGTCGTAACTAAATCACTTTGGCCCCGTTTGATTGTTTGGATTGGATATAAGAATTTGAAGAAGATATGTAACACTTAAAGATATTAAGGATAGGATGTGATATAAAATGTTATAGGATATGGGATGGATTATATATACTGTGGGGTCACCTATATTTGATTAAGGGAGGATATATGATCGGATAAGAGGAGAGTAATTATTTTTGACCTTTAGATAAAAGATAAGCTATATCCGACGGTAGGGGACATACAATACCATGAGGGTGGTGTTGCATATCCCCTTTTGTATCATATACTATATGAACTCCCCATATTCAAAGTAACCAAACACCGAATATAGGGAGAAAAAAATATATGAGACCCACCTCATATTATATCTGGTCTCAATGATAATCCTAACTCCCAACTACCTGACGTCACCAACAAGTTTTTTTCTCATTCAGCCATCTTTCAATGGATTCATAAACTTCATCATTGAAGCCAAATGTCTACCAGTGGCAGTGGTCCGCCGGCAAACTTGTTCTTAGTCAGATGTTAACAAAACCAGAGCAGTAGAAACCTGGATTTCAAAGGTGGTCTCCAAAGATCTCAGAGTTCAAACTTGCCAATTGCCATGTCAGAAAAAAAATAATGTTCAGTTCATATTTAACTTTTTTAATATATGATCGGATAAGAGGAGAGTAATTATTTTTGACCTTTAGATGAAAGATAAGCTATATCCGACGGTAGGGGACATACAATACTATGAGGGTGGTGTTGCATATCCCCTTTTGTATCATATACTAAATGAACTCCCCATATTCGAAGTAACCAAAAACCGAATATAGGGAGAAAAAAATATATGAGACCCACCTCATATTATATCTGGTCTCACACCCATATTCGGTCTTTATATTCTATAAACAAACATGGCCTTTCAGTTATAACTAAAAGACCATGATGGATCATAACTATGCATCACTTATGACATAGCAAAAAAATATTTCAATTATAATAAAAATAACAATCACAATAAGTAATAATTGACTCATAAATAATCTTACAACGGGACAACAGTGTGAAGCAAAACTAACATTATAACCAGTCATAGTAAAATAATCTAATCAAATAAATCTTCGGCTAGAATTAAAACAAAAAAAAAATCACAACTCATAACTAGATCATAATAATTTACACCATAATAATCATGATGACTGAGAGGGTGATTTATGATCTGGAATTGGGCCGAGGTAACGGCCGAGCAAGTTGAGAGCCCAACCGTGCATGGGGCCGAGATGATCGATCATCCACCCGGAGATGGGCCGCCAGAACTTGGGTCGGACAGAAATTGGGCAAGTGTGCGCCACCCCAGACCGTAAAGAAGCTGCTCGGCAAGGCAGTGCTCGGTTGGACCGAGCTGCTTGATCAGGGATGGCTGAAGCCAGACAAGCTGAGTGACCGGCGCCCGGAAAGGCGTGGTCAACCGAGGAAGGCCGGTCACAGGAGGTGCCCGGGCTAGGCTCTGCCGAGATGCCGCTTAGCCCGGTCCTCCTTAGGTTTAGCCAGTGAGTTGCTTGGGTTTGAAGCACAGCGTGGCCATGGATAGAGCAGCTCGGCTGCCGAGCTCCAGCTGTGAAGGCAGGCAGTTGAGATTAGGTGATGTTCAGCAAGGTTTATGCTGACGGATGGGATAGCGGAGCCACGTGTCAGGAGATGACTGGGAGTAGATATGGGGCACAGAGGGTATATAAGCATGTCTGCGCCCCCCATACGCGACAGATGAACATTTGGTGAGACATACACTAAACACTCAACACTCTCCCTTCTCTCTATCTATCCTCTGGTGTGTGCTCTAACTTGATCGTCGGAGGGTTTTTCCGACCACACACTGCCGGGTAGCTCACCATTGTTTGCGCGCAGGTGATCAGACATAAACGGAGCACGGAAGAAAGGAGTATGGGCTTGCCGGAATATTTGCTCCTCGTACAATGACTCATATGGTACCCAAAAAAAAAAAAATTATGGTCAGAATATCAGGAAAATTTGCCCAAATTTACATTCTGTAACATGAGGATCCAAACCTTTGAAGTAGGCTTAGGGGTGGCATTTTTGTTAGGTCGGGTCAAATTTTGTCTCTGTGTTCTTAACATCGAGTCTCTATATTTGCTTAAACTAGTCCAACAAAATAATTTATCTTAAGTTGACCCATTGGATTATATGTAAATTTTTTTATTAACATTTCATAATTAAATTCACACATCATATTTTTTAAATAAATATACTAACAATATTATAAATGGAAAGATTTATTGAATAAATTTAATCAAATATCATCACAATATAAATTTTAATAAAAATAATAAAAATAAATTTTAAATCTTAACAAAAAAAAATATTTTTTAATATATTATAATTAATTAATTAATTGGTTGATTTAGAGTGTACTTAAAAAATATATAGGCTATGTTTGGCAAGGCTTTGGAACATTAGTTCCAGGCTTTGATTTGCACACTGTGTTTGTTTACGGTTTTCAAAAATTAATTCCACACTCACTTTTAAAAACTCTGTCCGAGGCGAGAAAATTTGGGCTAACCGGTCGTCCCACCGGACGTACGACCGGTTGATCGTCCAGTTAACCGGAACAGTGCATTATTTTTTATTTATTATTATTTTTTTTTGGCAATTGACACATGTTAATTTTTATATATTCAATAAAAATTATTTTCTGAATTTTTAAATTTTTTTTTTTATGAATTTTGAATATAATTTTGAGTTGTGCGTTTGGTTATAAGTTGTAAGTTTTTTATCAAATATCATATATTACATTAAAAATTTTCCACTCAATTCTAAACTCATTTCAAAACTTATTCACCAAATAAATTTTCTACACTCAAATCATGATTACAAAACTCACAAACTCAAAATACAACTCTATTCTCAAATCATATTTAAAAAACTCTGTCAAATGCATCGGTCAAAAATGGGGTGTCTACAATGGGTCAGCTACCTGAATCTTTTTTTGCTAGTAAGCTCTATCAAGGGCTACATAATCAAGTAAATTGTATAAATTTATATTTTATTCACTACCATATCACGTAACATCTCTATTTACAGTGATCATATCACTTTTCCTTTTTGTTGAACTTATAGGTGTTCATTATACATGACCGAACCATCTAAAACCATCTTCTCAACTTATGATTTGATTTCTACCATTTTCCCAATATATACATTTCTAATTCTATATTTTTCCAGTCTTATCACACATTCATCTAAACATGAATAGTTATTCTATAAAATTTTCTAGAATTCACAGATCACATAATATCACAAATGAAGTTACTCCATATATATATATATATATATATTACATTAATAAAATTAAACCAAAAAAGCAGAAACTGAACTACAGAGAGAGGGGGAGAGAGAACAGACATCGTTCAGGACCGGGGCCGCCATCGGAGTTGAGAGAGTCGAAGCGACCGGCCAAGCGGTTGTTGCGATCGGCATCAGACTCTTCTTGGAAACCACGGCCTTTGGTCTTCTTGGGAGCAGTGGCGGCGGCGAAGGCGGAAGAGCCGCCGGTAATGGCGGACTTGAGCTTTGGGAGAGGAGCCCTAGGCGAAGCAGCGTCGACGTCAACAGTGCCGTCCTCGTCCATGAGATCGTCGTCCTCCGGCTCGAAGTCCACCGCTTCCACGTCTGCGTTCGCCATTTTCTCTCTCTCTCTCTCTCTCTCTCTTGCAGGTGTCGTCTGTGTGTGAGTGGTCCAAGTGTTTCGGCTTGCAGGGGGGGTTTGAAATGCATGGGTGGATCTCAAAGGGAATGGCTTCCTCCGGTTCAATCACGGTTGGAGGGTGGGGCCATGGGAGTCCATCAGAGATATGGTTCCTTTAATTTGAATAGTTGAATATGTAAAAATTATCAAGTATTATATATTTATAAAAAATTATATTGATTCGATATTTATAATTATATGATTAAATTAATTTTGTATAAAAAATATGGACGATAAATAATAAATGGCTTATAAAAATCTGATTTGATTATATAGTTATCGATATCTGATCAATATGAATTTTTACAGATATATAATACTTGACGAGTTTTACATATTAAACAGTTTATATTATGAAAACAAAACTCATGATAGGCTCTTATAAACCTAATAATACCCTCTTATTTGATCATGGACCGAAGCCATTTCCTATGGGAAATCTCACTTTAAGACTTGAAAGGTTAAGTAGTGATTTGAGAAATTGATAAAAAATTAATTTTTTAATTTTTTTTGACAAAAAATTGAGTTGTTTTGGATAAAAAACTGACTCTTTTAGGTAAAAATATTAAAAAATTAAAAAATTAACTTTTTTGTTTTTGTGTGTTTCCAAAACACCCAAAGCTAATATTTTGGGTCCGATAAATTAATGAGTTGACTTCGAGGCACTTTGGGAAAATTGATAAAAATGTCAGTTTTTTGACTTTTTAACTTTTTTAGTTAGAAAAGTCAATTTTTTTTTTTACCTAAAACAATCCAGTTTCTTGTCAAAAAAGTCACCAAAAAAATTAAAAAATTAATTTTTTATCAATTTCTCAAATCACTACTTAACCTTTCAAGTCTTAAAGTGAGATTTCCCATAGGAAATGGCTTCGGTCCATGATCAAATAAGAGGGTATTATTAGGTTTATAAGAGCCTATCATGAGTTTTGTTTTCATAATATAAACTGTTTAATATGTAAAACTCGTCAAGTATTATATATCTGTAAAAATTCATATTGATCAGATATCGATAACTATATAATCAAATCAGATTTTTATAAGCCATTTATTATTTATCGTCCATATTTTTTATACAAAATTAATTTAATCATATAATTATAAATATCGAATCAATATAATTTTTTATAAATATATAATACTTGATAATTTTTACATATTCAACTATTCAAATTAAAGGAACCATATCTCTGATGGACTCCCATGGCCCCACCCTCCAACCGTGATTGAACCGGAGGAAGCCATTCCCTTTGAGATCCACCCATGCATTTCAAACCCCCCCTGCAAGCCGAAACACTTGGACCACTCACACACAGACGACACCTGCAAGAGAGAGAGAGAGAGAGAGAGAGAGAGAGAAAATGGCGAACGCAGACGTGGAAGCGGTGGACTTCGAGCCGGAGGAAGACGATCTGATGGACGAGGAAGGGGCGGTGGAGGTGGAAGCTAGTTCTCCTAGGGCTCCTCTTCCTAAGCTCAAGTCCGCCATCACCGGCGGCTCTTCCTCTTCCTCTGCCAAGAAAACCAAAGGCCGCGGATTCCGTGAAGAGACCGATGCCGATCGCAACACTCGCCTCGCCGGTCGCTTCGACTCTCTCGACTCCGATGGCGGCCCTGGTCCTGAACGATGTCAGCTCTTTCTCTCTCTCTCTCTCTCTCACACTGAATTTAGGGTTTTTTTGTTCAATTTTATCAGTCTACTGTCCAATATATGTGGCTTCATGTTTTTGCTGATGCTTTTCTGTGGGTTAAAGATTCAAGCTTTACTTTGAAGCAGAAATTCAGTTGAAAATAGAAGAAAATTAAAAAAAAAAAAAAAGAAGCTCACAATTGAATAGCCTTTTTTAGGTTTTCATTCTGGTGGTGATGCTTATGATGTTTCTAGGTTTTTCTGGGTTTCTCCTAAATTCCTTTTTGGTTGATGAAAAATTTGAAGGCATGCTTTAGTTTTCGGTTCTGGTGTTGTTTTAGTTTTAAGTTTGAGGTGGGGGTTCCTGAAAGTCCTTTTGGTCATTTGAATGCATAGACATATAATAATCGAAAATGAAATTCCAAGCGTTATGGTTTTTAACAATTGTGTGTAGAAACTTATTTGCTATCTCCAGTTAGCTCGTAAAAAAAAAAAAATTGTATTGGCTCGCAAAAATCAGGTGGTGTTTGCTGAAACTAAATATTTGACAATGAAAACAGGAATGCTGAATTGGAAAGTGTTTATGTGCTAGAGCTTTTGAAAATCTAAAACCTGAAAACTTGCTATTATTACATGAGATTCAAGCAAAAGACTTGTGAGTATTATCTCAAATTTAGTTGTTTATTTTGGGCTTTGATCTGGACACATGGACTCTTTCGAATGTATGAAGTACCCTTATTGGACACTTGACACGTGGGTAATGGTATAAGATATGTGTAGTTGGACATTCACCTAGCAAACATGTTCAGTAATTTGAGTTTACCAAAAAAACATGCATAGAACTCCTATATTACGCATGTAATCTATGTAATACCTTGTGTCGTTTTTTTACCCTAAAAGAAGTATATTAAGTAATATGAACATTTTTTTGTGTCCCGTTGTCCTTGGACACGCGAATTAGATGAATCTAACACTAGATACATTCACACTTGACGCTCGTACCCGAATCCATATGACATAGATGAGTAATTACACTTTACCCTTGTGTGATTTGGCTATGAAACACAACCACTTATGGTTCAACATAGTACACGATTAGTAGATTCAAGTGTCTAATGTAGGTATAAGGTTTGGACAAATATAAAATACCTTTACTCTTATTATATCCATTGGACACTGGTACATTGGGGGATTAGAAGATTCCATGTAACACTGATCCAAATTATGCAACCAAATGAAGCCACAATTGTTCTACCTTCTTATGACTTTGAGAAGAGCAATTGTTTAGGCCAAGTTTGGCACCCAAAAAATAATCCATCTTTTTATTTTTTTATCTTTTTTTCATCACATCACCTCTCTACTTTTCTACACATTTTTTCGTAAAACGACAAAAAGTGCACTTATTTAAGTCATCCCAAACAACCCCTTAGTTGGGATGGTTGGCTATGGATTTGATGGAGAAAGAGGAGGGACTCACCCTTACGGTAAGAGTTCGTGGTTTGCAAAGATGTGTTTGCAGAATTATGAGGAGTTGAGGTGGTTATGTGGTTGTCTTCTGCAGGTGTTTGGCAAAAGGGGTTTAAATGAGTTGTCAAAGATCTTTGATGGAGAGGCGTTTGGAGGTGAGACTCCTGACAAATAGGGGCCTTGTTTGGAAAGTTGGTTATTTGGCTATTTTAGCTTGGTTAAAATAGTTGTGCTTGGGAAGATAGTTGGTTTTTTTTTGGTAGTTGATTTGATAGTTGTGAGAGAAAAAGTGAAATGATTATGAGTTGGATGTGACATTTTGTTTTATTGGCTATTTTAGCCTATTTTGTCTTTATTGGCTATTTTAGCCAAAAAAGCTAAAAAAACAACTTGCCAAACAGGGCCAGAGAGAAGTTTTGTTTGTGTTTTGGTTGGAATGGTGAGTGGTGGAGGTTGGTTTACTTGGCAGAGAGGGTGGGCCTTTTTGGTGCAACTTTTTGTAAAATGAAAGTTGATAATAAGATAGCAAAAGCCAAATGCACTCCTTTCTAAGCTAATAGATAATTAGCCTTTTTAGCTTATTTAAGCTATTTTTACCTAATAAGTTGTAAGTAGAAATTGTGTCAAACAGTCTAGCACAAACTCCTAGAATAAAAAAAGAAAAGAAAAGCTATAAGTAGAATATGTAAGTTACACCAAACAGCCCGATTGTGTTTTGGTTGGGCCAAGATTGTAGCCAAGTTGTAACCATTAAACAAATACTTGCAAGCTGTAACCATTAAACAAAGGTTAGAGAAAGGATGGCCTTTCCTGCAAACTGTAACCATTAAACAAATGAGAAACCTTTTGCAGGTTAGGGCAGGAAGGGGAAGGTTGTTGAATTCTTGCAGAGGGGTTTGGTGGGAAGGATAGATCATAGGGGTCAGTACATGTCTTCTTAATGTTTATTTTTTTCTTTTCTTGTGGGACATTTCATTAAAATTTTCTTTTGTTCTTTCCTCTTTGTTTTTTTTTTTTAAACTGACCCAGGTTATTCTTATATTGTGCATTTCATATGGTCACTTTCTTATGTATTAGTTCGCTTAAAACCTTCTATGGAATAAATGTTTATGTTCAATTTATCCCAGATGTACAATGATTATATGTAAAGCCAGCTAGATAGCTGTCTATGATTCAGGTTTTGTATTGAAATTTGTAGAGAAGTTTCAAAATCCAATAGTATTCCTAATGAATGTGAATTTTTATAGCCATTGAAGGATGGATTGTTCTAATCACTGGAGTTCATGAAGAGGCGCAAGAAGATGATTTGCAAAATGCATTTGGTGAATTTGGGGAGATTAAGAATTTGCATTTAAATCTTGATCGTCGAACTGGGTTTGTCAAGGTAAGAAGAATGTTTCCTTAGAATAAGTAATATTGAAAGTAAAGCTATGCATGCATGCTTCCATAATTACGTATTAGTTGCATATGATATTGTAGTTGAGTAGTTATTGATGGCAAATGGTATTGCATCATTGAACAATTCATGATTGGTTTTATACTGTAGTGTGCTACCTCTGTTGTTTGATGGTTTAGCACTTTTGATTCCTCCTAAAATAGTTCCTTATACTTTGAAACTAAAAGTTGCAGCATTATTGATACCAGTAGTCCATTTAAAGATGTTATTTTATTCTATTCACTTTTTTTAATATGATATTAGTTTACTATACACTTATTGGCAACTATGATAACTTCTTCATTGTTTTTAGTAATGATTGTTGTTAATATTAGGATTAATTATATTTTTAGTTTCCATAATAAGGGGTTTGTGTCATTTTGTTTTCCAACATTGAAATTGTGTCAATTTAGGTCTCAATGTATAAAAAGTGTTTCCATTTGGTCCCCCCAGCCTAACTCCGTTTGTAGATGCTGTTAAAGTTGAGGGTAAATATGAAAATTTGATTAAGAAATTACTCTTTTAGTCCTGAAAGTAAGAGAGGTTCATGTCATTTTGCTCCTTAATGTTTAAATTGTGTCAATTTAATCCCCAAAGTATAAAAAATGTCTCAATTTGGTCCTCCAACCTAATTCTATCTCTCTTCATCTCAACCAAGGATAAAGCATTGAAACTATAAATACACATCAACAAAAAACAAAAAAATTGCCAAAAAAGAAAAAAAGAAAAGAAAAGGAAAGGAAATATTCTGGTCGTCCAATATGTATATATATTATGGGTTTTGTTGATGCATTAAATGAAGTTTAGCTAACCCCACTATTGTAGGTAGTAGAAAAATGTATAAATGTGTTGCAATAATGATATATTTTTTTTTTCAATGAGACCAAAACAGCCCTTCTTTTTTTTTTTTTTGCATTTCTCACCTTTCTACTTTTTTATTTTATTTTTCTAACCCTATCTTCTCCCACTTGTGTGCTCCTTTGACACTTTACAAAATTGCACTTTCACAAATTAGAGAAGTAATCAATAGCAAATAATGGTGGAATACACTAACAATATTTTTTTTTAGCAGTAGTTGACATAGGAAAATTAATCAAATTTGATCCATAATAAAGTGATTGAGACTGAGGCACCATAAAAAAGGATGGAAAATGCTAAAACTATATAAAAAAAATTCATATAAAACTATGTAACAATGATATTTTTGCTATTATAAAACATAGTGATAATCATTTTAACTTTTAGTGAATGAATATAAATGATATTTATTATTCTGTATAAAGTTTTTATATACGAAGCTCGTTTGTATAACAATACCATAAAAGGCTTTTTTATTTTTAGATAATTCTGATAGCAGTCCAACAAGTTATCCATAAGGAAAAGTAAATACGAAAAAAATAGAATATTTTTTTTCCACATGTTTAAAAACATTTTTATTCTATAGATTTCTACACAATTTTTACATGTTTATTTAGATTATTGATTATTAACAATTCAAAATATTTTCATGCAACACTATTGATCAAAAAGAAACATAGTTGGCAATATTGTCATTATTTGCTTGTTACTAATTAAGAAGAAGGGTTGTTAAAGGAGCACACAGGTAGGAGATAATAGGGTTAAAAAATAAAATAAAATAAAATAATTAATGGCGAGAAATGCAAAAAAAAAAAGAAAAAAAAGAGAGAGATAGAGAGGGTATTTCTTTTTCTACTACCTATAATAGTGGGGTTAGCTAAACTTCATTTAATGCATTCTTAACAGGGTGCCCTAAGGGCACTTGTTAACAAAACGCATAAATTATTTATATATCAAAACATATTAGATGATGCACTATAAGAAAAAGCATTTTCTACGATGGAAAAAAAAATCTTCACCAAAAATTGGCAATGAGGAAAGTAAGCTTTTGGCAACAAATTTGTTTTTTCGCATTGCGAAAATTACATTTTCTTGTAGTAGCAAGAATATTTATCTCCAAAGATGTTGCCACTTTTATTTTCATTTTTTTGTGATGTATATTTATGGTTTCCAAGCTTTACTCCTAGCTTAGATAGAAAGGGAGACAATTAAGTTTGGGACCAAGTTGAAATACTTTTTATACATTGGGGACTAAAATGACCCAATTAAGCATTTGGGACCAAAATGACACAGATAGCATACTTTGGGGACTAAAAGAGTAATTTGAATTTCCACATTTATCTTTGTCTTTAATGGAATCTGCAATTGGAGGCAGGTTGGGGGACCAAATCAAAGCACTTTTTATACAATGGGGACTAAATTGACACAATTTAAACATTGGGAATCAAAATGACACAAACCCCCATACTTTGGGATACTTTGGGGACTAAAAGGTAATTAATCCTTAATATTATTATTGAGTAAAATTTTGTATATGGGCAGTGCCCCTTTGTTTCCTTTTTTAATAAATGTACTTATCAAAAACTATGTATTATTGTGCAAAATTCAAGCCTTATCCTTGGGGGCACAAGCTAGTAATATATATATATATATATATTGAGAAATATAAAATTAACGGAAGTCACTAGTTAGGGTGTAACCAAGTACGCAAGTATATGGGACTGCTCCCTCTTAAGAAGAAGACATTCCAAAAGTTTTTATTTAAATAATGATGTCAGGTGTTCAACATATATTGGATTCAAGAAAATTTTGTCCTAGAAAGAATTATTGCCAATATAAAAATAAAATAAAAGAGCTAAGAAACAAAGATACGGACACAAGGCATATGTATCTTGACATGTTAGGAACGTAGCAAAATTATTTATTTATTTATTTTATATATATGTACATATATATTATATAAAGATAAAAAATACTTAAAAAAATAGTTTATATTTTACTTATAAGGAAATAATAACAAATAATTTATTTTCTATGTTTATATAGTGAAAAACTATGTTACATGGACTCTTCTAAATTTGTTAAATGCTTTTGTCTGACACTGAACACTTGGGTAAGGGTATGGAATATATGTGCCCGACATGTTTGATTGGACATGCACTCAACTATTATGTATATAAGTTATCGAGTTTACTATGTAACTATGCATAAGAATTTCATTTTCTGCATAACATTCTCTATTTTTGTTTTTAAATACCTAAAAAAAAATATTTAATAAATATGAAATTTATTTTTGTCCGTGTCCTTGAACATAAAAATTTGATGATTCCAAAACTTAGAAACACAAACCCAGATCTGGCATTCATACTCAAGTCCATGTAATAGAGTTGAAAAAGAAATAGGAATTGAAAACTGTAAGGGTATGTTTGGTTTGGATTTGTAGAGTGATTTTGGGAAAATTTTTCTAAAAAAATTGTTTGGTTTGTAAATTTTCCAAAATAATTTCCAAAATCACTCTCTCTCTTACCTATCAATCAATCACTTTTTTTTGCTCATCTCTTCTTCTTAATCACTTTTTCTCTCACACATATCTACTCAATTATAACAAAATATCAAATCATTCCAAACTCCCAAACTCCAAAACTACTTTCAAAATATAGTACCAAACAAACTAAAAAAATTTCTAAACTCTCTCCCCAAAATAATTTTTAAAAACTACTCTCCCAAAACCAAACCAAACATACCCTAAATGTTTTACCTTTAGAAGCCTCGAGAATTTTACAAAAACAAAAAATGAAAGTCACAAGGGTTTTGGGGGTTGGAATATTAAAATGCCAACCACTATGTTTGGATAGAAGTGAAGGCATTGAAGGGGAACAAAAGATCACTCTTCCTTTTGCTTTGATAATAAAGGTAGGGAAAAGGAAGGAAGGAGTAGTCGTGTTTATAAGAGAAAAGGAAGGGAAAGGAGGAATATTTTATTCATATGTAAGTATAATATGAATTTACTTATTTTGATAGAAATGAGGGCAAAATCTGGAGTTATTAACTTCCTTTCACTTCCCCTCCAAAACCTCCCTATTTTGATGGTGAACAAATAGGATTTGGCATCCCTCCAAACCCTTATACTCCTACTTATTAAACATAAACTAGAGGAATTAGTGCACTGTTCTTCCCCCCAACCCCAAACTCACATGTAGTTGTTAGGGGATTAATTGATGAAAAAGAATATAGACTTCTAATTTTGTTTAAAAGTAATTGGACACTTTATGAAGGTATGTCCTATGTGTTTGGGAAGTGTTAGTTCCTTAGGAGGTTTGCTTTTGCTTTGTAGTCAAAAAGTTCAAATGACTTGAGATGATGCTATTTGAACTCGAAACATTTGTGGATTAGTGGTGAAAGGTGATAGCAAGGATAATTCCAACATGTATCACATATTAAGCTACTTTTAAATGATGATGCTATCAAAACTATATTACCGATACATGGAAACTAGGTAATGCCCAATTCTCTTCAAACTATGCACATTTCTTCCAATGTTTATCATCCTTTTGGATTTATCTTTGGATTTCTTTGAATGTTTACCATCTAGTTTGATCTCGGATACAATATTTTGTTGGATATGTTGAATTATCTCTTCTGTAGTCCTTACGATCTCTAACTTTAGTTGGTGTAGATCTCTATCCTAAGTCTACTATATAAGTTAAATCTAGGCTGTATCGTACTTGTAGAGCGTGGTTTCGAATTGGCTTTTTCAATGCCTTTTTTGTTTACCTTTTTTCGTCTTTAGTAAACTTTTTGTAAAATTTTTCAAAAAATTTACACTTATAGGTTCTACCCTACTAGACAGACTAGGAAAATAAATAAAGGAAAAAAAGTCTGCTAAAGACCACACACAAAAAAAAAGAAGTAAAAAATAGTTGCCTTTTTTCAAATTTTTTGGGTTTTTAGCGAACTTTTTTTTGAAATATTTCAAATATTTTTACTTTTTAGATCCTTTTACAGAAGATGGACCAGTGAAATAAAAAAGTTCTGACACAAATTTGGAAGGAAAAAAAAAAAATTTAACTATAGACAAAAAAGTTTGAAAAAAATGTGGCCTTTTTAGCTGGATCCCAAACTGATTAATGACCATTTATTGAACTTGCTGACTCCTAGCATAATGTATTTAATTATTGTCAAGTTGAGATGTGAGTTATGAATCAAAATCCCATTTTTCTAAATGATGGTAGGAACTAAAGTTTTGTTTTACCGAATTGCTTGATGTGAAATATTGCTCTACAGGGGTATGCACTGATTGAATACGAGAGCTTTGAAGAAGCACAGAAAGCTATTAATGAAATGGATGGAGCTGAACTGCTCACACAAACCATTAATGTCGATTGGGCATTCAGCAAAGGTCCATTTAAAAGGAGGAATATGAGGAGGAGGTATGTTCCTTTGCAAAAAAAATTTTGCCCATCAGTATACATACTTGAAATCTATGTTGGAAAATCTGTGTAAATGATTGATGGGATTGTCAGGTTGATGAATGTAACCATGGGGAAACGACTTCCTTTTTGTGTCTGTTGACATTTGACTTGTATTACTGCGAGTTAGGTAGCATTAGGAGATGCATGCATGCATCCTCACCTGTCCTCATCAAATGTTTTTATTGACGAGGAGAAAATATCTGGGCAAATGAAAATGGTTTAGTGTGGGAAGCACAAATGCATCCTCTCTTCCTTTCCTTCTTCTGTTTCTTGCTACTAAAGAAAAAAAGAGAATTGCGAAGATGTAAACCGATGCTCCCGTCTCTATGGATTTACTAAATAAGTCTTACATAAATGAGTCATATATATGCATAAACACAGTCTTTGAAAATGCCTTATACACATAGCTTCTTTTTGGTCATACTTGTTGGAATGTTTTGGTTGTTATTTATGTATTTTTTTCTCTTTGATTAGAGGACCTTTCTCTTTTGTTGGAAGTTTCTTCTTCTTTGTTTTTTTGTTCAATTGGACTTTTTGTTGTTCTTTTATGATTGGTTTTGCATTATATCTGTTGTTGTAATTCTAATGTTTAGGAAGGTTCTGATCACTTCTTAATAATTTCAGTTTTGTTTTGCAATGTAGAGTTTGTCTGCTTGCTTTCCATGGCCATATTTTGTGGTTATCATTTAATGGAAAATTTTAATCTACCTTTCCAACCCCGAACTTAATCCATAGGGGACAAAAATAAACAATTACATTTTCTTCATACGTACGAAATCATTGTAGCCGATTGTTTCAATTTGAGTTTGAAAATGTTATCAGGAATATGTTTTGTGGGAAAATATACGTTACAGAAAAAACTTAGTTTATTTATAATAAAAAAAAGAAGCTATATGTTCTTACTCTTTACTTCTCTCTGTGAACCATTTACAACTTTTATCGCCAAAACAACCACTAAACTTCTCCACCCACAGTTGCCAAAGCATGTGCTCAAGGGTGGAACTTCATCTAACTGCCTTTCTATTCTTCATCTTTATCCTAGTCCATCTCTTGCTTTTGTTGTCCCTTTAAACTGCCAGGCTCTCTCTTGCTTTTATTGTCTCTTTACACTGCCACAGCTCTCTTTCTCTCTCTCTCTCTCTCTAGGTGCAGGCCGCTCTATAATTCTGCCATGTTGAATGCATATAAACAAATTTTCTCTCACAAACTATTATATTCTGTACTTAAGCAAGCATAGGAAAACAACAGTTCACATGCACTCATTTTCCTTATGTTTATTACTCCGTGCTATATTTTTGCCTTCACAATTGTTGTCCTGTCCTTTATGCAAATGCCTATTCCATGCATGACTTGTGGTTGCCATGCATAACTTTGGGCCATGTTGGAGGGAGTTTGAGATATGTTGGAAGGGTATCCTAAATAATATATATATTTTTTGAATTCTTGTCTGGACACATCCATCAGGTATCGGATTTGGGACTTTGAGTGTCTGGGAATTGTTTGGTGTTTAACAAGGTTCTAACATGGACACAATGGCTTTCTAGCAGTGCCCATACTCTTAATGTAGATGGTCAATTGGCTGTGCTCATGGATATCCTCACTGGTAGTGTGATGAAGTGGTCGATGAGATGGTAGAGATTGGTTACTTGTTGGTGTTGGCATGGTCCATCAGTCTCACTGCCTCAGTTGTGGATTATGCCTTCTAAGATCCATGTCCTACCACAGATATGTGTGTCTGCTTTTTTTTTTTTTTTTTGGGATTTAATGGAGGCTAATAAAGAGAGCACACCCAATCATGATTACAACGAGAAATAACTTTTAGCCAAGAAATTTCTTTGTTTTTATTCAATCGACAAATTTAATGGTCTCTTGGTCTTGTGTTAAGCTGTACATTCGTGAATGTCTGTGTGACACTATATACATCTTTTGTGTATGCCATGAACTATTCCACCACAGCAGGTTTATGCTAAGCCCTTATCTCATGCTTCTAAGCTGTCCTAGATTAGAAGAAATATTCCATAATTTGTGTTGTGGAAGAAAGAACAAATTTTGATGGGTTACTCGGGTGTGCATTGAGCTTTCAAAAGGGTGTCTGGGGGTGTGGTATGAAATTCAAGCAGTGGAATTCATCCAGTGGAAAATAATGAATCATGCGCCCAGCATGCATTTTGTATTATTGTAGCCTTTGTGTTGGTTTGAGGCATTTTGTAATGATAATGATAAACTGTGTGCTATGATCTGGTATAATTAAAACATGTTTGAGCTTGTACTAATTTGCTGGAGTTGTTTAGAATATAATACATAGAAAATAAGATGAGTTTTGTGGTGTGGTTTTGTTAAAATTTACCATCACCTACCACACACTCACCTACTACACTCACCTACTCCTCACCTACCACCACCTACTCCACTACACCTACATCTATATAAGGAACCATTTGTAATAGACAGAATCATCAAACACAAGAATCAATAATACAATCATTTTTCTTTATACATTAAATTTCTACATGGTATCAGAGCAGGTTTAGAACCTGATATTTTCACTTCCCCGGCGGGCGGCAACCTCACCTTAGCTGCCCGCCGGACCTCAATCTAGTCCACTAAAATTTTCTACACATACCTTCACTCTTCTCGGTTTCTTCTTCTCTTCATCGTTTCACTTGTTGCTTCCAATCGGCGTCCCCTCTCTCTGTCGACCCTGCATCGTAATGGAGGCGGCTGTTGTAACTCAAACGAATGTTGGTGCTGCTGCTAATCAGGACAAGGATCAATCTCATTCCGATGTCAAACTCTTCAACAGATGGGTCTTTGACGACATTCAGATCAGTGACATGTCTGTAACAGATTACCTTGCTGTGAATCCTGTAAAGCACGCAACTTATGTGCCTCACACAGCTGGAAGGTACTCAGTCAAGCGGTTTAGGAAAGCCCAGTGCCCAATTGTGGAGAGGCTGACCAACTCTTTGATGATGCATGGGCGAAACAATGGTAAGAAGCTTATGGCGGTCCGCATTGTTAAGCATGCAATGGAAATTATCCATCTGCTGACTGATCTAAATCCCATTCAAATCATTGTTGATGCTGTTATCAACAGTGGACCAAGGGAAGATGCAACCAGAATTGGTTCTGCTGGTGTTGTGAGGCGTCAAGCTGTTGATATATCTCCACTGCGCCGTGTTAATCAGGCAATTTATCTTCTGACAACTGGTGCTCGTGAAAGTGCTTTCAGGAACATAAAGACAATAGCTGAATGCCTAGCTGATGAATTAATCAATGCTGCCAAAGGGTCTTCCAACAGTTATGCTATCAAGAAGAAGGATGAAATTGAAAGGGTTACAAAAGCCAATTCAAGAGCCAAACAGACCTTTTACACAACTGAATACCCAGCTCACTCTTCACTTTATCTATTTCTTTTACTTTTTTTATTTTTTATTTATTCTCTTTATCTGTCTAACCCATGTGCGTCTCCCTCTATTCCCACTCGGTTGCTGAACAATTTCCATTCACCTCACGTGGTGAACAATTTTCCAAAACAGCCCTCCACAACCTCTCCACGGGTTCAGAAAACCCCACTCTTCTTCTCAATAAATTATTCTTCTTTGCCACAAATCCCACCTTTAGTAAACCCAACACACCATTCACACACACACCGTTTAGAGAGAGAGAGCCCACTTAACTTTCTTTTTCTTTTTTTTTATTATTTTACTCTATCTTTTGAAAACCCACTTAACTTTCTTTTTCTTTTTTTATTATTTTACTCCCTCTTTTTGAAATGAAACCGAAACACCATTGATTTGCACTTGTCTCTCCTCTCTCTCTCTCTCTCACTTTACACCCACACCCACGTTACACTTTACTTTTATTTTAATATCTATATATTTTTTTAAACCAAAAAGAATAATATCTATATCTACCATTGTTCGTGCGCATCACCTTTTTCCCTTTCTCTTCTTTTTATTTTTATTTTTTTTATATATTCCACCTCTCAAAATGTGTTTCATATCACCCATCCGGCGCACATGGTTCTGAGTTCCCAAAAAAAAAAAAAAAAAAAAAAAAAAAAAAAAAACAAAAAAAAAAAAAAAACGAAACAAGTTTTGGAGCCTTTATTCATATAATTGTTTCGATCTTGTAGGATGATGATGAAACTGATACTGTTTGTTACTGCATATTGAAAGTAGAAAATGTAGAACCAATGCCTCCAAATATTCTGAAGGTATAATGGCGTTTATGTCTCAGATAGCAAGGTTTTAAACCTTAACTTACAATTGGATTTGGTTATAATAATATTTGTGAGTTTGGTGGGTTATTATATTGAGATTTTGAAGTTTTAAATGACTAAAAAGGGGACTGCATGATGTGAAACTGGAATCAGTTTCTGGAATATTTTGAACCTATTAGAAACATGTAACAATACAAAGGTTTTTCGTCAACTGCAATTAATAACAAATCAATATCTTTTCTGGTTTTCTAGTTTGACTTCCTTGGTAAAGATTCAATTAGATACCAAAATGAGGTTGAAGTTGAACTTCCTGTGTTCAAGGCAATTCAGCAGTTCCGAACTGGTTAGTGGATGCGTGGCCTTTAACAACAGTTCACATGCACTCATTTTCCTTATGTTTATTACTCCGTGCTATATTTTTGCCTTCACAATTGTTGTCCTGTCCTTTATGCAAATGCCTATTCCATGCATGACTTGTGGTTGCCATGCATAACTTTGGGCCATGTTGGAGGGAGTTTGAGATATGTTGGAAGGGTATCCTAAATAATATATATATTTTTTGAATTCTTGTCTGGACACATCCATCAGGTATCGGATTTGGGACTTTGAGTGTCTGGGAATTGTTTGGTGTTTAACAAGGTTCTAACATGGACACAATGGCTTTCTAGCAGTGCCCATACTCTTAATGTAGATGGTCAATTGGCTGTGCTCATGGATATCGTCACTGGTAGTGTGATGAAGTGGTCGATGAGATGGTAGAGATTGGTTACTTGTTGGTGTTGGCATGGTCCATCAGTCTCACTGCCTCAGTTGTGGATTATGCCTTCTAAGATCCATGTCCTACCACAGATATGTGTGTCTGCTTTTTTTTTTTTTTTTTGGGATTTAATGGAGGCTAATAAAGAGAGCACACCCAATCATGATTACAACGAGAAATAACTTTTAGCCAAGAAATTTCTTTGTTTTTATTCAATCGACAAATTTAATGGTCTCTTGGTCTTGTGTTAAGCTGTACATTCGTGAATGTCTGTGTGACACTATATACATCTTTTGTGTATGCCATGAACTATTCCACCACAGCAGGTTTATGCTAAGCCCTTATCTCATGCTTCTAAGCTGTCCTAGATTAGAAGAAATATTCCATAATTTGTGTTGTGGAAGAAAGAACAAATTTTGATGGGTTACTCGGGTGTGCATTGAGCTTTCAAAAGGGTGTCTGGGGGTGTGGTATGAAATTCAAGCAGTGGAATTTCATCCAGTGGAAAATAATGAATCATGCGCCCAGCATGCATTTTGTATTATTGTAGCCTTTGTGTTGGTTTGAGGCATTTTGTAATGATAATGATAAACTGTGTGCTATGATCTGGTATAAGTAAAACATGTTTGAGCTTGTACTAATTTGCTGGAGTTGTTTAGAATATAATACATAGAAAATAAGATGAGTTTTGTGGTGTGGTTTGCTAGATAGAGTAAATAGATTATATTTGGTTGTTGCAGCTGTGGTGAGTTTGGTTAAAAGAGAAAGTCGGGAGAGAGTGCGAGAGAGGTGGATTCTTTAGGTGGTGTCTTCAGTTTAATGGTGGTGCTTGGGTGTGGGTTCTATGGAAGATGACATTAGAAAGAGAACATGAGGTGGAGAGATAAAGAGAATGAAGAAAGGTAATGAAGATAAGGGTTTGGTGGGTAGAGAGAGGTATAGTGGAGATAGTGATGTTTACAGATGGTAAAGGTGATGAGGTTTGGTGGTTGTTTTTGGGTTCAACCTGAAGAGAGGAATAGAAAGGAGAATGTTGGTTTGGTTCTTTTCAGACTGGCCCTAGGCTAGGCTAACTCAATGAAAATAGAGAGGATGAGGACTAATTGACTATTGATTTTGTTAGTTTCATTCGTATTTCATAGTAAATCTTTTCATATCCTGTCAGTATCATTATAGTGTTTAAGATACAATATCTCAAAGTTTATATGTGCTTTCAGTTGTTATCTTTATTGGAATCAATTGACCTTAACTTTATGAAATTAGAAATCTTTACATCTGATTGTCTTGCGTTCCTCTATTGTTTGCAGCTCTTATGGTTCTTCATTTAAAATATAATTGGTGTATTAAGTTCTTCTAGGTTTGGGACTTTTTTGTTTTATTAACTTTTCAGGGTAGATAGGAAGCTCTTTGTGATTGAACTGAAGTATATGATAATCACAAAGAAATGCACTTCCATCAGGAAGACACATCCTACTCTTAGTGGAACATGTGTAAAAAAATTCTTTAGGATGTGTTTGGTTCTTGGATATGTGGAGAGAAAGAAAATGGAAGGGAAATATTAATAAAGTTGAACCTGTATTTAATTTTTCCTGCTTTTCCTTTCTCGTTCCTTCTCCCTTTACAATTCCAAGATTCAAATACAACCTCAATATTTCAATTCAATGGGTGTTTGCGGCGTAAGCAAATTTCTGCTCTTGTTTGAATGTGAAGTCTAAATTTTTTCAATTTGAGAGAGAGGCGAGTGGGGCTGAAATGGATCATGTAAGAAAAATCATTTTCCTTCTTATTTTTGGGTGTTCGGTTGGGGTTTGTAAAAGAAATTGACATAACTAAATGCAAAGTGTGTTTATAGATGCACGAAAGCATGCATTTTGTATTAGCACTATATATCCTTGTCTAGGACTCATTAACAGATATAGGTATGTTTACAGAGTAAATAAGGTGTATGCATGAGCAAATGAATATGCACATATCTTATCCATATGGACATAGAGGTTATGAAAGTGTACCAGTATCTCTCCTACATAATATGCAGGGATTAAATAGATAAAAGGGTAATGGGCCCTGCTGCTTTAGTTTTCTGGTTCATTTTTCTCTGTTGTTTTGTTTGCTTCAGAGTGGGCCCTCTGGATTTGAATTTAAAGAACATTAATATTCCAGAAGAATGTAAAAGAGCGTTAAGTTCCAGAAATGGTTCCCAAACCTGTTCTTTTTCTCTTGAGAGAGGGATTATGGACTTGTTACAGTAGAGGAACAGTGAACACATGACTCTGGTATGTATTACGTGAGATAAGATGGGTTTGTCTATGATATGCATGTATATGTGTGCATATACACAGGTCTATTATGTGGTCACATGGGATCTGTTGGTTTATTAAGGTTGATGACTTCTTTCTGGGAGGGTGGGATTGGTTATCCATTTTCAGGTTTTGGATAGTAGTTTGTCCCTCCCAACAATCTGCATAAAAGATTTAACAATCAACAAACACAGGAAAATTCAGAAATATTTTATGCTGAGACAAAAAGTGACGCATGTGAGTGAGAAAGAAATAAGAGAGCAATATTGTCTTCATTTGTTTTCTAGTTGCACCGGACCATTTATTGATATCAATTCTGGTGCAGTCAAATGATTGAAACTGTATCCCATATACTATTATTACATATTAGTGTAATTTCTTTTTGCATTTCTTCCACTTTTAAAGTGCTGCCTTGTTTTCTTGTATGTGTTATTGCAGATCACCGCGGGGACACCGTTCAAGAAGTCCCAGAAGGAGATTCTAGCCATCCAAGGTTTTGTGGACTTCTGTTGGGATAGGAAACAAGATGTTTGGACAGTTTTTTTTGATACTTGTGACTGATTGAGTGACTCATCGAGTGTATGATTATTAATCTGTTTGTTGTTGAGGATCCCTTGCGCACCCTCCCTCCTGCCTTTTAACTTTTCCCATCTTTTCTGTTTCCTCTTTTTCTTTTTTCTTTTTTGATTTTTTTTTTTTTTTTGGTTACCCTTCTAATGGGATGCTGTCTAGGCTGTTTCTTACAAATTATGTAATATGTTGCAAAATATTTGTGTTGGTTATTATTTTGCACTTGTGGAAAACAAAATGGAGGCTGATACTGTTTGACTAGAGTCGGCATGCAAATTGATTGTGAGATGGTGTGCACCAAGGTCCTTGGCCTTAAGCATTGATAGCTGGCCTGATAAGCTTGCTCTACATATTCAAGTGGATTTCTTGATAATATATATTTGTATTCTTTGATGCTCGGTAGGTTACTTGGGTGCTTTTGCACCTTTTACATTTCCGAGGGAGGAGTTGAGATCTATGGCTTCACTGGCCTTTTAACCTTGGGGAGAGACTCCCACTTTGGTGCTATGTGATAATAGTAAGATGTTCTATGCTAGTGGTTAGTTGATCCCCAAGTCACTGGTTCATTCAGATTGAGATCTTCTTTATGGTTATGAAAGATTTTCATTATCTAGATCTCTTTCATGATACTTGGTTCGAGTGATGTTTTTTTAGCGAATGCTGCTTAGGCCTCGTTTGACAAGTGGTTTTTTTAGCCAAAAAGTCAAAAAATCACTAAAAAAATTAAAAAGTTAACAACTCATACTAAAAAGATAAAGATTCTCTTTTATTCTCTATTTTTTACACATCTTTTTGTAAAAAGTTAAAAAATCGTTCTAAACATATTAATTTTTTTTAGTTCATATTTTAGCTAAATAGTCCAACAGTTATTAAATTAGTCTGTTTCCAAACGAGGGCCTTAGTTTATTTTTCAAAACAATAAATACTCTTGCTTCTACTATAAAAGTTCAAAGGAAATAGTTCTTCTATCATTTATACACAAATTGGATTAGTTGGGGATTAAATTGATATAATAAAAATATAACTTAGTGTATACTTTGAAGACCAACAATGTTCTTAATTATACAATGAAAAAAAAATGAAAATACTCAATGATATATAAAAGTCATCTGAGCAATGGGATGTAATTCCTAAATTTGTTACATAGAAGTCTCCAAACCAAACCAAGACTCTAGCTTGTAAGACTGACTGCCAAATGTTGATCAACATTAATAATCCCCCCAAAGACAAAAAAATAAATAAAAATTTTTGCAAATGACGCAAATAGTCCTTGTACTTTATCCTGTGTGTCATTTTGGTTCCTGACATTTCAAATTGTCCGATTTAGCCCCTCAATTTAACGAAGTGTGTCAATTTCGTCTAATAATTGACATCCGTTTTGAAATCATGGACAGAAAGTCAGTACTTGTCTCTCACGTGCTTTCTCTAGCAATTATTGAGGGGCACACTTGTCTTTCCACCTCAAATCCTAGGTTACCTCCATCGTCCCTATACATGTATCTTCCCCAAATCAACAAGTCCATTCTCTCTCCACATAATTGAATCGTTTCTAGGGTTTTGAGTAACTAAAAAATTGTTTGATTGTAAATTTGCTAAAATTGGCATGGATAGAGAAGAAAACGATTGACGAGGTGAAAAGACGAACCTGGCGATTGTGAGGATTGGTAATGAAATACCAGATTATGATAAGCAAAAAAGTACTCTTTACCTTCCTTTTTTTTTTTCTTGGTTTTGTATGTTGCTTTATCTTGTCTGTCTGCAAGTTGAATCATTGGGTGGGTCAAACAATCTACTTTTGCTTTGCTTTGTTTGAAAGTGACAAAGTGAATATATGTTTATATATTCACGCATGTCGACACATCTACACAACTGCACACTGACAAAAAAACTAATCAATATCTATAATTGATGTATATATAATGTGTTGTGGTCCCCTTGTCCTGCATTGTGGATCATACAATAAATATGTCATCTTTTATTTCAGATCCAGATAGTGATTATTTCACTATCAAAATGCATCATGGTGGGGTTTTTAAGTCTTTAGTAAATATGGCTTACGTAGGGGGGAAATTATCATTTTGGGACAATTGTGATGCTGACAAAATGAGGTTGATAGAGATAGAAGATATGGCTCAAAATTTAGGTTATACTGAATTCATTTCATACCATTATCGAGTGCCTGGTAAGGACTTAAATTATGGATTAAGGCTCACTTAGGAATGATAGTGATGTAATGGATATGGTGAAATGGGTGCATGTAAGTAGGATAATTGAAGTGTATTTAGAGCATATTCCTGATAATCAGTTGCTTGAGCTTGAAGAGTTTAATCCCTTTCACTATGCATCAGTTGTCATTGAGGAAATTGAAAGTGGCACAAGTAATGTGGAGGGTGAGGGTGAGGTTGAAGTTGAAGTTGAAAGGCAAAGTCATGATTCCTCTAACTATTCTATAGATCTAGAGGAGTTTGAGGATAGTGACTATGATTTCAATGAGGATGACATAATATTTGATGCTAATGTTGATAGGAATGTTGAATGGGGTGGGTTAGGGAGGCAAAAACATAATGATGAAAGGGTTAAGGTACCTCATATTGATTGCCTAGAGCTTGATGCTACATCTGATGACTTGAAGAGCATTAATGGATCTTCTGATAAAGAGGCTGGAAGCAACATGGTTAGATACGCCGAGTTTAATCCAAACACAGATATGGCAGAGTCACAATTCAAGGTTGGCATGGTTTTTGGCACTGCCAAAATATTGAAAGCTGCTGTTAAGGAGCATGGTATTAAGACTGGGAAGGTTATTAAGTTAGTCAAAAATGATAGCATGAGGGTTAAGGCCACCTGTAAGCCACCATGTGAGTGGATGCTTTATGCATCCAAGATGTGAGGACAACCATCATTCCAGATAAAGACATATGTCCACACTCACAATTGTGGCAAAATTTTTTATAATAGACAAGTGAATTCTACCTAGCTATCTAAGAAGTACATGGAGACATTAAAGTCCAATCCATCTATTCCAGTGCAGTCATTCAAGCAAGCTGTGCGAAAAGATCACAAGGTTGGTATATCCAGGAGCCAAGTGTATAGGACAAAGAGAAAAGCACAAGAATTGATAGAGGGAAGCCTCATAGAACAATATGCCAAGTTATGGGATTACTATGAAGAGATAAAAAGAACTAATCCAGGGACAACTATCATAGTCCAGGAAGATGATGAAGAACATGAAATAGATGAAGCCAAGCCTAGGTTTCAAAGGATTTTTGTATGCTTTGGAGGTTGCAAGCAAGGTTTTCTGGCAGGATGTAGGCCATTCATTAGGGTTGATACTTGCCATTTGAAAGGGCCATAAAAGGGACAACTGTTGCAAACTGTTGGTTTGATGACAATAACAACAGCTATCTGTTGGCCTTTGCAATTGTTGAAGGAGAAACAAAGAGTTTATGGAAATGGTTTTTTGAAATATTATGTGACACTCTTGGGTGGTTCAACAAACAATGAGTGACCTTCATGTCAGACAAGCAAAAGGTAAATGCATGTTGGAAGTTTCATGCATTTATTTTTACTGTTTAGTTCATTTAATGTATGTAAATTTTTTTTTTGTTTTTGTTTCCCCCTGCAAATGTAGGGATTGTGTCCAGCACTTGTAGAGGTTGCACTCATGGCAAAGCATAGGTTATGCATCAGACATCTTTCCACCAATTTTAGAGATAGCTTCAAAGGGGTGCACCTAAAGGACATTGTGTACAAAGTTGTAAAGGCTTCTTATGTACAAGCATTTGAGGCTCATATGGAAGAATTAAAGGAAGCTGATGAAGATGCATTCAATTGGTTAGTTGAAAAACCCCCAAGCACCTGGTCTAGATCTCATTTCACACCTACAGTTAAGTCTGATATCTTAGACAACAACATGTGAGAGAGCTTTAATAGCTTGATCCTAGAAACTAAAGGAAAAACCATAATCCCTTTGTTAGAGGACATTAGATGTATCTTGATGAAGAGGCTGCAGGTGAGAAAGGAAGTAATAAGGGCTAACCTAGGACCTATTTGTCCTTAATATACAACAAGCACAGGAGAAAATGAAAGAAGATGCAAGCAATTGTATTGCTATGTGGACAAGAGGTCTGAGGTACCAAATCAATTGCTTCAATTGGCAACAATTTGTAGTTGATTGGGGTGATTTAACCTGTTCATGCAGAAAGTGGGATCTAACTAGCATACCATGTTTTCATGCCATTTCAGCCATATATGACAAACATGAGCAACCTGAAGATTATGTGGCTCATTGGTATAAGAAGGAGACATACTTGGCTAGCTATGAGCTAATGATATACCCAATAAATGGTTATGAAATGTGGCCAAAGTCTGTGTTGCCTGGATTATTGCCTCCAAAAGTGAAGAAGTAACCTGGTAGGCCAAGAAAGTTGAGAAAAAGGCAAGCAGATGAGCTTAAGAATCCTTATAAGTTGCACAGAGGAAACACAACAACTACATGCAGCTTGTGTGGTAAGCTTGGGCACAACAAAAGAGGATGCAAAGGCCAGCCTATTGCACCAAAGGTTATCCTGTACACAATTTGTTACATCTTCATAAATTCAATTCATTTATTAGAGGTCCTTCATACAATTAATTATTGACAATTTGTAGGTGACAAACAACCAGTCAAACACCTAGATAAGCAGTCAGCCACCTACTCAACCCAGTAGTCAACCAAGAGACCAAGCAACCACTGTAGCCACTAGTCAATAAGCCAGTAGGGTAAGCATTTTAGTAAGGCCTAAAGTAAGTGGTAGTTAACCAAGCTTCAACTTCAGACTGGTATTGCAAGGGGTGAACATTAGGGGACCTTCACCAGGTTTCATTAGAACAAGCACATTCATTGAGCCAAACCCATCTGAAGGTCCATATGGGGGTTCAACAACATATGTGTCAAAGGGGCAAAAGTTTGTGACCTTGTTTTCACTACCAAAACATGGAAGAAATTAAATGTTGAAGGAGTAGTTACCTAATAGTATACAACAGTTTTTTGTGGATTGTTATGCATTATGTTTTGTTGTGTTTGGCCTTTTTATGTTTTGTTGGAACATGGTAATGTTTTGTTGGATTTGCCATTTGTATTTTGTTCGCACATGGTAAACTGATTGGCCTTTGTGTTATTTGAAGTATTTATTTTTTGTATTGGAACATGTTTGGACCATGTTTTTTGTTTGTTTGTTTGTATCAACCATGCCTACAATATTTATTTCTATGTCATGTTATAGGTTGCTTCATGTTTGCTAAAAGTGAAACAAACCATGATCCAGTGTGATTGAAAAAAAAAAAATTATAAACAAAAACAGTTTCATTCAACATTCATTTAAAAATTCAACA